GACCATTAGGTCCAGTCATGGCCGACTCTGGGGTTGCGGCACTCATCTCGCTTTATTGGCCATGGGAGCCGGCGTACAGCTTCTGGGTCATGTGGCCAGCGTGACTAAACCGCTTCTGGCGAACCAGAGCAGTGCACGGAAACGGTGTTTACCTTCCCTCCGGAGCGGTACCTATTTATCTACTTGCATTTTGACGTGCTTTCGAACTACTAGGTTGGCAGGAGCAGGGACCGAGCAACAGGAGCTCACCCCGTCGTGGGGATTCGAACCGCCAACCTTCTGATCGGCAAGTCCTAGGCTCTGTGGTTTAACCCACAGTGCCACCCACGTCCCTAATTTTATTTTATTAACATATAAAACACATACATATACATTTATACAATACACATACACAACACACCACCTAATTTTCATAACATAAAACATACCTACATTACTCTATATAATACTTACCTATATTATACATATCAACATACCTACACACCTACAAACCTGTGGACACCCACCAAGTGACTTGACTTCCAGCCGTTCTTGTTACGCTACTTTATTTTTCCAACTAGCTTAAACGCATTTCATTATTTCTTTAATCTCTTCTTTTATCTTGACTTTACCCTCCTTTCACTCGAATCATTTTCTGGATTCACTATCTGTCAGAAATTCCACTTTTCCCACATAAATTTTGATGTATTCCTTAAAGATAGCCCACTCCTTATTCACTTTTTGCACCATATCTCCTCTTATCCTCCCTGTTATTTCGGCAATACGGAGGTATTCCATCATTTTAGATAACCAGTCTGTTTTAGTTGGGACGCTGCTGCTTGGGGAAAATACAGCTGCTATATTGAGAAGAAGGCTCTTCTTCTGTTCTGATCTTAGGGTTTGCAAGTTTTTTGTTTTTTGTTGACAGGCTCCCACAGCATTTCCTTAAAATTTTGAATGTGTCCACCAGCTCCTGCTTCATAGATCACTCAGAGCAGCGATATCCCTCGTCTCCCAGAATTATAGAGCTCTGACTGACCTGAACCATAAAGTTGGCGGTTCCATGTTGTAGAAAACTTTTCCCACAGAGGTGCAACAGGCATCCTTGCTTTTGACTTTCAGGCATCTCTGAGGACTCCCTCCCTTCCGACAGAGCTTTGCAGCTATTTAATTTTTTAGTCAGTCACCTTCACGATTCTCTGTATTTTTAATTTCTTTTTTTTATGATCTTTGATGTTTCTGCAGTGCACACTGCCTCGATAGGGTGCTACAGAAATACGGCTACAAATAAATAAATAAATGCATAAGTGTGGGGCGGAGGGAAGAGCGGGGACATGGGTTGTCCCAAGAGGAAGTAGCTTTTACTCTGTAAAGGTCTACTTTCCTGAAAAGAAAAAGCAAATTGTGTTTGGCAAGTGCACTCTGCATTACCTCAGCAGTGTGGGCTGTTCTTTAGAAAACTTCACAGCAAGGGAGTGAGAGGAGGTTTTTACCGTTTGAGCAACGCAAACCCTAATAAGTTTACGTTTCATATAAACGAAAGGCCTGCCATTATGGTGGATAAGCGGATGTAAAGGGAGAGCTTGCTCATTTATTGTGTATTGTGGGCCCATCGCACCTCTCTCCTGAGAAAGCCTTCTAGTCTCCTGCTGTCAAGGTGGGAAGGCAGGCCTTAAGGGGTTACCAGCCTTTTTTGGCTCAGTGGGTACATTTGAAATTTTGATGAACTGCCAGTGGCAGCAGTCACAAAATGGCGGCTGTTGGGTGTGTGGCATGGTAGAAAATGGCTGCCATAGGGTGTGTGGCATGATACAAAATGGCTGCCATAGGGTTTGTGGCATGATACAATATGGCTTCCACAGGGTGTGTGGCATGATACAATATGGCTTCCGTAGGGTGTGTGACATGATACAAAATGGTGGCTGTTGGGTGTGTGGCATGATAGAAAATGGCTGCCATAGGGTGTGTGGCATGATACAAAATGGTGGCTGTTGGGTGTGTAGCATGATACAAAATAGCTTCCACAGGGTGTGTGGCATGATACAATATGGCTTCCGTAGGGTGTGTGACATGATACAAAATGGCTTCCACAGGGTGTGTGGCATGATACAAAATGGCTGCCATAGGGTTTGTGGCATGATACAATATGGCTTCCACAGGGTGTGTGGCATGATACAAAATGGCTTCCATAGGGTGTGTGGCATGATACAATATGGCTTCCGTAGTGTGTGTGACATGATACAAAATGGTGGCTGTTGGGTGTGTGGCATGATAGAAAATGGCTGCCATAGGGTGTGTGGCATGATACAATATGGCTTCCATGGGGTGTGTGACATGATACAAAATGGTGGCTGTTGGGTGTGTAGCATGATACAAAATGGCTTCCATAGGGTTTGTGGCATGCTACAAAATGCCTGCCATAGGGTGTGTGGCATGATACAAAATGGCCACCGCATCTAAAAGAGCAGCAGAAGAAGCCAGAACACAAAACAGTGTGGGCATGCCCTCATGTCTCATGCAGTGTGGATTTTTGAGGGAATATTTACTGAGATTTTCTATGGGTGCCATAGGAAGTGCTTACTGGCAGGCACACCTAGCACCCCCAGGTGCCACGTTGGTGGCAGGAGAAATTGTCAGCTTCAGAAATGTGTTTTGTTTTCCAGTCTTTGATCAAAGCAGGAGCTCTTTTGTTTTTTTCCTTAAGTGATTTCTTTCAGTATCCGTTTGCATCTTCAGGATTATTTCCTTGGTAAGATGTATGCCGTTAAGTGTTTGTTACTGTGTTTATTTCAAGAAAAAAGTAAGGGGGAAAAGTGCAGAAACCTAAGGAGAGGGGAGAGAGTATTTCTGTGGCCTTGTTGCCAGGAGTGGAGGGTGGGGAGGAAAGAAATTCACTCTCCAGATATAATAGCAATACAGTTCCCTGATTGTAAATGTCTGACATCAGAAAACAAATGACAATGGAATAAGACAGGAAGAGAAGATGCAGCTACTGTGATGGCAAGAGACAAATGGAGGTGGACAGAAAATATAATGGGAACCTGCTGAATGGCACCAGTTTTTTAATGAGATCTAGGGCAGTTGATGTTTTGAGATGGGGTGGAGCAGGAACATGCAGAGATCGTGACTGAGAAGAAAGAGAGGTGACTTGCAGGAAGGAGTAATTTGAACCCTGGTCTCTTAGGTCCTAGTCAAACACTTTAACCACTGACTCTCTTGCCATGCCAGAGACCAGCACTCCGAGAGACGCTCTCTGGAGTCTCAGACACAGAAGTTTTCCCATCTCCAGTTCTCTAAGGTCCTTTAAACTGGAAAAGCTGGGAGGAACTGAACCCAGCTCTTTGCATGCCAAATATGCGCTCTACACCAAGGGGGATAATGGCTCATGGGATGGTTGTTCGCATCAGTCAATCTGCCTTTCAGCGAGGTGCACACCCAAGAAGCTGAATCTTCGCTGATATGGGCAGATTAAAAACACACACGCTTCTTTGCGTTGTGCAATGGCCATCTTTAACCAGGGGTGCAAAGGGTGTGGTGCACCCGGGCGTCGAATTCTGGGGGGCGCCAAATGTATTCTGGGGGGTGCCAAATGTATACCTACTGTATACGTTTCTGAGCACAATTCAAAGTGTTGGTGCTGACCTTTAAAGCCCTAAACGGCCTCGGTCCAGTATAACTGAAGGAGCATTTCCACCCCCATCATTCTGCCTGGACACTGAGGTCCAGCTCTGAGGGCCTTCTGGCGGTTCCCCCCCTGTGAGAAGTGAGGTTACAGGGAAGCAGACAGAGGGCCTTCTCGGTAGTGGCGCCCGCCCTGTGGAATGCCCTCCACTAGATGTCAAAGAGAAGAACAACTACCAATTTTTCATGAAAAATTGGAAAAGTGGTATTATACCGACAAAAACAGAATGGCTTGCCAAATTATTGGAGTATTACAATATATCCAAAACAATGGGAGAAATTGGAAGGATCTCAAAAGAGAAGATAGACAGGGACTGGAAGGTGTTTAAAGGATACTTGCAAAACCATATTGAAAAATCAGAACTCCTATTAGAATAAACAAGTTCCGTTTTAAATATTGAAATACTAAATAAGATGGATAACAATGTATAATAGAAAAAGAAGCAGAAAATTGTGTTAAAGGTGTGTGAAAGAAAGTAATAGAAGTGGAAAGAAATTGCAATTGAGTAGATTGGAAGTCTAACACAAAGGTGGGGTGAGGGGTGGTGGATGGTGATGGGAAAAGGAATTATCTGTGGGATTGAGTGTAGGTATGTTTGAACATTTTTAAGGATTGTATGAAATGTATGTTTGTATATTCGTAATATGTTTATATTAATGCTGAATTATTTTAATAATAAAAACTTTTCAAAAAAAGAAAAAAGAAGAACTACCAGACTTTTAGAAGACATCTGAAGGCAGCCCTCTTTAGGGAAGCTTTTAATGTTATTTCTGCTGCGAGCAATTTTCCATTTTCCTCCCCCCAAAAAACAACGTTGACATCCCCCCTCTCAAAAAAAGCTCAACAACTTCTTTGAGTCCCCCCCTTAAAAATCTGGGGGTGGCTAAACTAAATTTGGGGGCGCTCGGCGGATCTTTGCACCTCGGTGGTGCATATGTTAAAGACGGCCCTGACGTAGTGCGTAGCTAAACTATGGAATTCACTCCCAAGGAAACAGTGATGGCCACTAACCTTGATGACTTTAGAAGAGGATTGGACAAATTAATCGAGGAGAAAGCTATCAGTGACTATTAGGATGGCTATGCTCTGCTTGCATGGCTGGAGGCAGAAATGCTTCTGAACACCAGTTACTGGAAACCACAGGAAAGGAAAGTTGTTCTTGTGTTCAGTGTTGACATGCACCCAAGGAAACAGGGGCAATTGGCAGGCTCCCAGCTGGCTCCAGCCCACCGGCCGGTGTGCCGGCTGAACTCTGGTCCTTGGTCAGCATAAATCTGTGGCCCAGGTTTCAGAAGACTGAGCACGCTAATCAGCAGAGAAACGCTGTGCAAACAGAATTGTGTGAGCATATTTACAAGCAGGTTTATTCAGCGTAGATCGGGACAAAAGGAAACATGTCTGATCTCCTTTGTGTCCAAAGCAAAACAGAAAGCTATACACAAAAGGAAGTTCCTAGCAAGCTGTGCTGGACTGTAAACAGACATGTGACATGCAGCAATTCCACATGTCTGTTCCTTAAGGTGGAATGGAATTCTCAACATTCAATTCCTGTTTGAGGGTTTCCCACAGGCCACTGTGGGTTAGCCACTGTGAGAACAGGACTAGATGGGCCATTGGCCTGATCCTGTGGGCTCTTTCCCCCCCTGCTGCTACTGAATGTTTTGTTGAGTAGCTGTTGATGGGTTTGGGAGGAAGCCTGGAGTTTTCTGGGGCAGCCCAGGCTTTCGAACACCCGATGCCCTTCCTACGTTGTTGGACTCTGGCTTTCACCAGCATGCCAATGGTCAAGGATGATGGGAGTAAGAAGAAGAAGAAGAAGAAGAAGAAGAAGAAGAGGAGGAGGAGGAGGAGGAAGAGGAGGAGTTTGGATTTGATATCCCGCTTTATCACAACAAACACTCTGTGAGGTGAGTGGGGCTGAGAGACTTCAAAGAAGTGTGACTAGCCCAAGGTCACCCAGCAGCTGCATGTGGAGGAGCGGGGAAGCAAACCCGGTTCACCAGATTATGAGTCTACCGCTCTTAACCACTACACCACACTTGAAGCTGTAGTCCAATGATTTGTGGAGGGCACCAGGGTGAGGGAGACGGGCCTGGTACGTCTATGTGTAGCTGATTTGGATCCTGTCTGCTATGGGCATCTTGTAGCTTTCTCTCTGAACATTTCCGGAGTGTTTATGATCGGCCAAGCACTCCCAGGATGCTCGTATGCAACTCCCACTCAGCACACACCGGTATAATGCCACCATCCAAGTGTCTCTTTATAACTCTTCAGGGGACTGACTTGATACTTTGCTTTTCAGGATGCAGCTGGCAGCAATTTGGTGACTTGTATGAATGTACCTTATGCAATCTTATGCACCCTGGTAGGTGGGAGGATGATTACGGGCGTCAGAAGAAGTCTTTCATCGTAAATGACAGCTCCTGATCATGTACCGGAATGCTCATTATCACCCTCTCAAAATAAAAACGCAAATATGTGTTGGAAAGACACGTTCAGTGGGGTGGCAGCAAGTAACTTGGAGAAGGCCACACACACTTCTGTGCTCCCATCGGGCAACTCTTCCACTCATAGCTAGAGATAGGGGGCAAATTCAATTCGTTCTCCATTTAACCTGCCCAGTTCACAATTGGTTAATTCAATTCAAGAATCGGAACACAGCCCTGCATTGAGATTTACACCCCTCCAAAGACTGCAAAGCAGCCTGTTTATTAACTTTACTTTTCAGATCCTGTACTGATTTGTCCATATCTTTATGTTTCCTCAATAAATATTTTAATTGTTCCGATAATTCTTAGTTATTTAGCATTTCGTTCAATTTTTGTATCCATTTTTTCAATTTTTAAGTCCATTGGATCTAATTTATCATTCAAATTTTTGTCCATTCTGGCTAGAATCTCTTTTATATCTGCATTTGGGTCCGGGTCCATTAAAGATTGTCTTCTTGCTTGTACTCCTAGTGTTGCTGTAATTGTCCCTTGTTTGCTTCTCGTGCTCATCTTAGGCTCACTCATTTTTTCCTATCCAGTTACTTTACCACAACTCTCAATTGTTTTGTTATTTTGTTGAGTTACTGGTGGGATCTCCCTGCTGAGGGTTATTCGTTATTTTTCATTCCATCCCTTTTTTTGCTTGTATCCCTTCTTTAATTTTCTTAATTTCCCCCTTCCTACCACTTTCCGTGTTTCACTTGCCTTGCTGTTGTTTTTATTATTTTCTGAATCCCCCGAATTGCAAAAATGCAGATATTAGGCAAGTTTGGAATGCAAACATATTAGGAGAAATTTGCACTAAACTGTGATGAGTTTTCATGAGGGTAGATAAACTTATGTGGAAATGTGAAGAAGTGAGAAACTGAGAGAAAGGACCAATGGACTAATTCTGTGCAGTCTTCATACTAATTTCATGAGGGTGATGTGGAAGGAAAATTCGGGATGAAGAGAGAGGAACCCCACTTCCAGTTCTAGTCCTTCTCACTACCAGTATGTGCCTCCGCACCAACAAACCATCCAGTTCAAGGCTACCCATTGATGTGCCAAAGTATAGCTATTTAAATTCTGGTAGGAAATCCAGCCCTATCAAATACTGACACCGACAGTGGTGACAGATTTCAGGAGGTCCTCACTGTGATGCTACCAATGAGTCTCCATTCCTTCAACACACAAACCAACCAACCAACCACAACAGTGTGACTGCTTTTCCTGTAGTCTGCTGTAAGATGCTCTGCTGTTGTCCCTGAAGGTGGCCCAGAAGCTGGAGCTAAACTGTTGGCAGGTACAGGAAGGAGAGCTCTCGTCGCACCTGTTATGAAGGTGCCACACACTGGCTGCCAGTAAGGTACCAGGTGTGTGATTGAAGGCCTTGTACTTGGCATATAGAGCCCTGGACAACTTGGTACCTAAAGAACCTGAGGGAGCATCTTCCCAATCACCAACCAACCTGGGTGTTATGATCAACGGAAGATGCCTTGCATCAGAAATGTGCCCCTTAAGGTCCAGATTGGATCAGCAGAACCCCAGATTGCCTTTTCTTGTAGAGACCTCCCAATCGAATCTTTCCAGTACCCTTCTCACCAGTGAATCTGCAAGCTAGCCTACTATCTGTATCAGAGCTCTTCCCATTGACAGCTCCTAAGTTTTTCTCTCATGGAGTGGTTCATTTCCCCTTGCTCCTTCTTGGCTCACCACTCAGGCCTGCTTCCTTTCCTTATACCATTATCTCTCCTTGTTATCTAACCCCTTTTCTCCTCATTTCATTTTCCATGCTGTGCCTGTAGTCTATAAATTCTTCAACTTCAAGTTCCACCCACCCACCCTGCCTTTTATGCATTTGCTGTGAGCTTCTAGGTAAGGCTGCACCACTGCTCCCATCCCATCCCATGCCAGATACTTTTCAACATCTACATGCAGCCCCTGGGAGAGATCAGGGGTTTTGGGCTGGGTGTTCATCGGTATGCGGATGATACCCAGCTCTACTTCTCTTTCAGATCAGAACCAGTGAAGGAGGTGAAGGTCCTGTGTGAGTGTCTAGAGGCGGTTGGAGGATGGATGGCAGCTAACAGATAGAAGTTGAATCCTGACAAGACAGAAGTACTGTTCTTGGGGGACAGGAGAAGGGCAGGTGTGGAGGACTCCCTGGTCCTGAATGGGGTAACTGTGCCCCTGAAGGACCAGGTGCGCAGCCTGGGAGTCATTTTGGACTCACAGCTGTCCATGGAGGCACAGGTTAATTCTGTGTCCAGGGCAGCTGTTTACCAGCTCCATCTGGTATGCAGGCTGAGACCCTACCTGCCTGCAGACTGTCTTGCCAGAGTGGTGCATGCTCTAGTTATCTCTCGCTTGGACTACTGCAATACGCTCTACGTGGGGCTACCTTTGAAGGTGACCCAGAAACTACAACTAATCCAGAATGCGGCAGCTAGACTGGTGACTGGGAGCAGCTTCCGGTCTTGAAAGACCTACACTGGCTCCCAGTACGTTTCTGAGCACAATTCAAAGTGTTGGTGCTGACCTTTAAAGCCCTAAATGGCCTCGGCCCAGTATACCTGAAGGAGCGTCTCCACCTCCATCGTTCTGCCCAGACACTGAGGTCCAGCGCCGAGGGCCTTCTGGCGGTTCCCTCGCTGCATGAAGCTAAGTTACAGAGAACCAGGCAGAGGGCCTTCTCAGTAGTGGCACCCACCCTGTGGAATACCCTCTCACCAGATGTCAAAGAGAAAAATAACTACCAAACTTTTAGAAGACATTTGAAGGCATCCCTGTTTGGAGAAGCTTTTAATGTTTAATAGGTTATTGTATTTTAGTGTTCTGTTGGAAGCCGCCCAGAATGGCTGGGGAAACCCAGCCAGATGGGCAGGGTATAAATGAATTATTATTATTGTTATTGTTATTGTTATTGTTATTGTTATTGTTATATCCCAGCCACCCTGAGCCCGGCTTCGGCTGGGGAGGGTGGGATATAAATAAATTTTATTATTATTATTATTATTATCCCATCCCATCCCCTCTGGCTCACCAGCACCTTCACTTGAGCTAGCAGGGAGAGAAACAGCATGGAAGGTCGAAGCAGCTCCTTCACTCTGCAGCAAAAGGATGCTATTTCATTCTAAAAGCTGTAATCAACAAGCCCTCACCCCACCCTGCCCCCCAAGGAATAGGAATTGGCTAATTAGGGGGCCAATTAATCAGTAATGCTGCTGGAAGCAATTAATGGCGGAAACTGCAAGGAGGAAACTTCTAATTAAAGTTGCAAGGGATCTTTGCTGAATCTGAGCAAATGTTCTAGAAAGATAACACTTAACAGATGGGCCTTGCCACATTATATAGTGCCAAATTAGGCATGATATGGAACTGTTTTAAAATTCCTGTTGCAACTGCACCTGCCAACCTAGCAGTTCGAAAGCACATCAAAGTGAAAGTAGATACATAGGTACTGTTCTGGCGGGAAGGTAAATGGCATTTCCCTGTGCTGCTCTGGTTTGCCAGAAGCGGCTTAGTCATGCTGACCACATGACCCGGAAGCTGTATGCCGGCTCCCTCGGCCAATAAAGCGAGATGAGCGTGTTCCAGCCAATAAACCAATGCTATTCCGTCTTCTTTCTGGTTAAACAACAGCAAGAACAAAACTCTCCAAATCCATAGAAACCCAAAAACAGAAGAAGTGTTTATTATTGAAAATATTTACACCATATCATCAGTGTGACATAAAAAGCCCCCGAGGATTGTCTACTGCATTCCCCAATGCAGACGAGACACTCTTGATGCAATGCAGCCTCACAGCTGCATTGTCACCATCATCTTTGTATCGTGTTTCCCTTTAGAAAAAAACAACAGCTCATTTCTGAGCCTCCCTCAAAAGAAGTTGAGAAATCTTTCGGTTGTCCTCTTTCCAGGGAAAAGCAAAGGCAGCTGAAGGAGCTGGTCAGCACTCTTTCAAAGCTCAGTGGTGAAGGAGAGGTGAACAAAAAGACAATCTGAGAGAGAGAGAGAGAGAGAGAGAGAGAGAGAGATACTACAGAGACGGTCCATTTAAAAGCTTCGTCTGCCAGCAGGGCCAGTATGTAGCACAGAAGGCAAATTCTGCTCCCAAGACCTTGAAAACAGTGGAGAAGATCCGTGTGCAGTTTCTAACCCTCCATTCCCCACATTTCCACTTTTTTTTGGGGGGGGGAGTGTTGTCTTGGGCATTGAAACAGGCTTGTAAATCGCCAAGCTAAGTGAGCTTCACCTCCAGACCCTTAGGAGAGGAAGGTCACAAGGCGGCTAGATCTTTTGTTGCCGTTGCATTCAGGTTACCGTTGCTCCACAAATGACGAAAATAGGGACATGAAAGGCCAATGGAGAAGCGTGAAATTCTTGAGGGCTAGCACCTTCTGCGGGCTGTGATTTGCAACCCACACAGGTGGCAAGGGGATGGGGGAGTAAGGCTACCGAGAAGGATGAGACATTTCCAGATGGGTTATTTCTGCAGGACAATTGCACAGTTGCTGGTAATAGGGTGTGGATGTGTTCTGGATCCCTGCCTTTTAGGTGGGGCTTCTTTTGGGTGGGTGATGCAATATCCCAGCCCTCCATCCGCAGTATTGTGCAGCTCTGGAAATGTGACTTTCCTTCTGGTAGCTTGGCCCTGGTGCTCCTGATGGGTGGAATGTGGCTGTGTCAAAGCTGTAGTGGTTTAGAAGTGGACCTAAGGTGCCATGACTGACCAGTAACACAGATCTTACAACTTGAAACCACCCAGAATTGTGAGGTCATGTTTGTGTGCGTCATTTTAAACAACGTTAAAGGTTGAGGGCTGTTCCTAAAACACAGCATTCTTAAAATAAAATAAAATTGGCACAGAGCTTCAAGACTAGGATTTCAAGACTGTTCAATAGTAAGGAAAGGACCACCTGGTAGGGATTCCTTAGCTGTGATTCTGGCACGGCGGGCAGTTGGTTTAGATGACCGTTGGGGTCTCTTCCAACTTTAGATTTCTTTGGCTCTAGGTGCAGAGCTCACTGGGAGCAGATAGGCTTTGCCTTTAGGAGGTCCTTGCATCAACCTTTAGGAGGTCCTTGCATCAAGGCAGGGCTAGGAGAGGCCCCAATCCAAAACCCTGGACAGCCGTGGCCGGTCAGTGTACACAATACTGTCCTAGATGGACCATTGGTCTGCACTGATACCAGGCAGCTTCCCATGTTCCTAACCACGATTCCTGCAGCCACTTTTGCTTTATAAATAAAATAAATAAGGCGGCAGACCTGTGCACACTCACTCGGGATTTAAAGCTGAGTAAACTTGCATAGGATTGGCTTGTTAGTTTTCGAAAGGCAATGGTCTCTCGCATGTGATCCCTTCATTTAGCAGGATCCCCAGCAAACAGAAGTTCAGGGTCTCCCTGAAATGAGGGTAGGTTCCCTGTTACAGTGGGGTTGTATGGGCCCATCCAGAGATTCCCCATGACGGCCTTGGCCCAGTATACCTGAAGGAGCGTCTCCACCCCCATCGTTCTGCCCGGACACTGAGGTCCAGCTCTGAGGACCTTCTGGCGGTTCCCTCCCTGTGAGAAGCCAAGTTACAGGGAACCAGGCAGAGGGCCTTCTTGGTGGTGGCACCTGCCCTGTGGAACGCCCTCCCACCAGATGTCAAAGAGAAAAGCAACTACCAGACTTTTAGAAGACATCTGAAGGCAGCCATGTTTAGGGAAGCTTTTAATGTTTGATGGACTATTGTATTTTAATATTTTGTTGGAAGCCGCACAGAGTGGCTGGGGAAACCCAGCCAGATGGGCGGGGTATAAATAATAAATTATTATTATGGTTGCAGTTCTCCTATTTGGGTTTTCAAAGCATAGGGTATTTCTGGAGGGGGGAGCGTGGGAAAGCAATAAATGGAGAACACAGTAAGGGCTGTGGCACTCCCTCCGAAGGTTGTCTCCTTCCTTTTTAAGTAGAGGTTGGGTGGCCATCTGTCATGGATGCTTTAGCTGCGATTCCTGCATTGCAGGGGGGTTGGACTAGATGACCCTCAGGGTCCCTTCCAAATATATAATTTTATTACTCTACCACGTGGACGAGGAGGAATTGTGACAACCAAGGGGTTAAAAAGAGAAAAAAGAACACAGGGAGAAAGAGTATTTTTCTGGTGTGGGAATGAGGAGGAGGAGAAGGAGGAAAGAGAACAAAACTCCATAGTCAGCTGGTGGTTGGCTGGGGCTTGTCACACGGCAGCCGTCTGCTTTATACTGTGAAAACTAATCCTTGTCGGAGAGGTTGGGATGGACATGGCTCGAGCCACGCGGACTCGAAGGGAGTGGTGGTCTTGCCAGCGGTGCCATCTTTTCCGGGCTGCAGAACGTACCTAGTGGGAAGGAGAGAGAGAGAGAAAGAAGAGAAAGAAAGAGGGTGAAAATCAGCAGCGAGTCAACGGTGTGATGCAGCAGCAGCAAGAAAAGCTAATGCAATTCTAGGCTGCATCAACAGTCAAGGGAAGTGGTAATTCCAATCAGTTCTGTCTTTGTCGGACCCCACCGGGAGCCCTGTGTCCCGTTCCAAGCTGGAACATGTGCAGAGGAGGGCAACCAAGATGATCAAGGGTCTGGAAACCAAGCTTGATGAGGAATGGTTGAAGGAGTTGGGTATATTTAGCCCAAGGAAGAGGAGTCTGAGAGCAGATACGATAACCACCTTGAAATATCTCAAGGGCTGTCACACGGAAGAGGGAGCAAGCTTGTACTTTCCTGCTCCGGAGGGTAGTACTAAATATCAGGAAGAACTTTCTGACAGTAAGAGATGTTGGACAGTTGAATGGGCTCCCTCAGGAGGCAGGGGCGTTGCGTGCAGAGGGACAGGGTGGCCGTAGCCCCAGGCACATGGCTGTGTTGGCCGGCTGGGCTCCCTCCAGCATGGATGGGTAGGCAGGCAGGCCGTGCAGTGTGGCCCTGTGAACTCTCCGTGCCCCACGCCTGCCTGGTGGTGAGAGAGAGGCCCCAAGCCTGCACACCCAGCCCCTGGTCCTGCCTGATCCCGCCCCCCCAACACCAATAAAGGACGCAGTGCCACAGTCAGGAGGCAATATATTCTCCTTCCTTGGAGGTTTTTAAGCAGACATTGGGTGTCCATCTGTCATGAATGCTTTAGTTGAGATTCCTGCATTGCAGGGGGCTGGACCAGGTGAATCTGGGGGTCCCTACCAACTGTGCGGTGGGACGCGGGTGGCGCTGTGGGTTAAACCACAGAGCCTAGGACTTGCTGATCAGAAGATTGGCGGTTCGAATCCCCGCGACGCGGTGAGCTCCCGTTGCTTGGTCTCTGCTCCTGCCAACCTAGCAGTTCGAAAGCACATCAAAGTGCAAGTAGATAAATAGGTACCACTCCAGCAGGAAGGTAAACAGCGTTTCTGTGCGCTGCTCTGGTTCGCCAGAAGCGGCTTAGTCATGCTGGCCACATGACCCGGAAGCTGTACGCCGGCTCCCTCAACCAATAAAGCGAGATGAGCCCACAACCCCAGAGTTGGCCACGACTGGAC